ACAGAGTTTGCTTCTGAAAAACATAACCAGTTGGCCTCATAGGAAAGATATTGAATTTCAAGACTGTTTAAATTCAGTCAATACTTTATAATTATTCAAAAACAGATCCATTCAAAAAACAATCTTGTGAATCATTAGTGTTTTCACTAAAGTGAAACCTCACCTAACTACTGTCTCATGATATTTATAAACCCCTTAAAATGGAGAGACTGTATATAGAGAGCTTAATATCATAGACATGTTAAAGTGGGCTCTGTTGACTTGGACCAGTGAGTAACCACCTAGCAGCAACCCTGAACACCCTAGCAAGCACCTGGTTCACAATTTCCAGTGTGAGAAGCCCTTTTTATGTTTGTATGTATACAAATCAAAAGAATATATTATTATTAGCATTATATTGAACACTGTTTTTATATGTATAAAGGCATCAGAGCGCTGCTGCATGCTGGTTTGGAAGATCGCTATATGTGTATGTATAAAAACAGCACAGATGTGAGGAATATTTGAGGTTGTTATTCCTCAGGGATAGAAAGAGTGAGAGAGTTACAGCAGTTCATTGATCACACAGTCCAGAGGCTACAGAGACGCAAGATCAAACACACCCACACAACCTCTGAGAGAAAGACAGGGTTTGTATGTGTGTGCATTAAAGGGATAGTTATTATTTACTCACCCCAAGCCATCCTTAAATGTATGATTTTTTTTCTTTAGATGAACACATAATAGCTTAATTCTAAATTTTAAAACATGGGATACATCTATAAAGGCTTTTCATATCATAATTTCATATAATAACCCAATTGGAATTGCTCTGTTTATTATTATTCTTCAGATTCTTCTCCAAAATGAATCACATTTTGAGGGCCTAAACATGCTAAAAAAATCTGCTGGTTCAAAATCCGAAAACCAACAGGAAGTTCGTTATTTTGAATTTTCTGTACGATTTTTGTGCCGTTTTTGCCATTTCCAGGCCTACTTTGACAGACTCCTCCTACAGTTTTAATTGGATCATCTTCAAATTTGCTGAGTGTAATCATAAGGCCTTTGCGATGCTAAATTGCAAAGATCTTGAGTTTTCTTCAAAGGGCTTGTCCCTGGCGGCCTGACAAATTTTGATGTTTCGCCATGAACAATGAACAATCTGCACCAAACTTCACACGTTTGATAGGAGTTCTGTCCTGAACACATGTCCACGCTCATATTCATTTACAGTCATAGCGCCATCTGCTGGCAACAGGAAATGTCATGTTTAACACTGTTATGGACTCCTAGCAACAAATTAAAAAGTGTCAGCAAGTATTAAATAGCTTGTATTTCCAGGGGCTGGATGCGTGAGGGAGAACCAGAGCAGACAGTGTGTCGTTTCCTGCGATGCAAATAGATCCACTTCCGCCTGGCCAAACTCCCTCCAAAGGAGGTCCACCACAGGAGGATCTGGTGCGCCAGCCTGTAAAGGGGGCACGAGCGCGAGCACATACCCCCTTGCCGGTTTATGTAGGAGACCACCGACGTGTTGTCTGTGCGGACAAGCACATGATGTCCCCATACGTCTGGAAGGAAGTGTTTTAGAGCTCGAAACACGGCCAACATCTCCAGGCAGTTGATGTGCCACATGAGATGATGGCCTTCCCACAGACCTCAGGCCACTCATGACCGCTCCCCAGCCTGTGAGGGAGGCGTCCGTCGTTACCGTTACATGACGACAAGGAGCCCCCAGTGATGGGCCTTGAGACAGGAACCAAGGTTTTTTCCACATGTCTAAGGCACCTAAGATTCGCCACATGACCTTGATCGTGCGAAGCGGGTTCCCCCTCTGGGAAAACCCCTTGGTTCTGAGCCACCACTGCAAGGGTCTCATGTACAGCAGGCCAAAAGGTGTCATGTTGGACGCAGCTGCCATCAGACCCAACAGTCTCTGAAACTGACTCCGTGTGGCCTTCTCTCACTCCCCTCATGGCTGTGAGAATCACTTCGATACAAGCAGGAGACAACTGTGCCTGTATAAATGTCGAATCCCGCACCACGCCCAGATAAGTGGTTCTTCGTTCCCTGGAAAAGGCACACTTTTCTTGATGTTAGCTTTAACCCCAGCTCTTTCATATGGGCGAGGATGACATCCCGATGCCGAGCCGCCATCTGCTCTGACTGAGCTAATATCAACCAATTGTCAATGTAATTCAGTATGCAGATGCCCTGAAGTCGCAACGGAGCCAGGGCAGCATCCACACACTTCGTGAAAGTGTGGGGTGAGAGTGACAAGCCGAATGGAAGAACATGATACTGGTATGCTGTGCCCCCAAAAGGAAACCTCAGGAACTTCCTGTGTTGAGGAAGGATGGATACATGGAAGTACATGGATACTGCTCTGGGCTCACTAATGTAGGAACAACCCCGTTGAAGCGAAGTGGACAAGAACCAAACTGGGTTCATTCATTGCCATATGTATCAAACGTTTCAGCTGAGATCTAAGAACAACTGTAAAATTACAGATACAGGCTGCCATACCATACAGAAAGATTAATTCAATTCAGGCATGATAAAACAGCAACATGACCCTCTGAGCAACTCCAAAAAGTCTGAGTAAATTTTATGTTGCTCCTTTGTACACAGATTATCCACATGCATCTCCCATGAAAGTTTATTATCGATAAGCAAACCTAAATATATATATGAAGCCACCTGTCTAATGGGCTTGTTGTTAATCATGATAGGTGAGTGGTTACCTTCTAGTTTGAAATCACAAATCATGTTTTTCTAACGTTAATTACAAGACTGTATTATTTACTCCATGTAACAAAGTTAGCAATCTCTGTAGTATAATGTTGAATGTCCTCATCCTTATACAGGAGACCAAAAATGGCAGTATCATTTGAGAATTTTACAACAATATTCCCAGGATGGTGACTCCTGTATTTATTGGTTTACAGTGTAAATAAGAGTGGTGAGCATACACACCCCTGGGGGACACCGGTACTGATAGACCTACACTCAGAGAGATTCTGCTTGATTTTGACTTGTTGAGTCCTACCAGTAAGAAAAGCATGGAACCATTTGATGCAATATGGATTAACAGCTATACTATTTACTTTAGAGAGCAAGGTTTGGCTGCACGGTATTAAAAGCAGAGCTCAGATCAAGAAAGAACAGCCTGGCATAAACCTTGGGATCCCCAGATGTTTTGAAACATGATGCACCACATTAAGGGTAGTGTCATCAGACAGTGCCCCTATTAATTTGATATGGATCGAAATGGTCCTTAAACTCTTCTTTAAGCTTCCTCACCATAATCCTCCAAGCACTTCATCACAATGCAGGTTATGGCGACTGGGCGATAATCAGTATACTCTTGAGGAGCAGGTCTTTTTGGGCCAGGTATAATAACTGATTATTTTTTTCAAATATCAGGAATAATATGTAAATCAATAGACCTCTGAAAAATGTCTGTCCATGCAGGGGCTAATTCCTCTGCAAAGGTTTTCAAGATAATTGATTTAATATCAAGGGGCCCTATTTTAACGATCTAAGCGCATGGTCTAAAGCGCACGGCGCATTTGTGCTTAGGGCGTGTCCTAATCCATTTTTGCTAGTTTAAGGATGGGATAAATGGTTCGGCGCACCCGGGCACATAGTCTAAAAGAGTTGTCCCTATTCTCTTAATGAGCAATGGGTGTGTTTTGGGTGTAACGTGCCATAAACCAATCCGAGTCTCATCTCCCATTCCTTTAAAAGCCAGTTGCGCTTGCGCCATGGCGGATTCGCTATTTACATGGTGGAATTTACAAGCTGAAAAACTGAGCACTTCTCTAGTGAGGTAACAGATCTGCTCGTGCGCGTAATTCTGATACATGCAAAGACTATACATTATGACATGTAGGAATTTTTATATTTATGTACACAACACAATAATAATTTTTTAATTTTTGAATCCTTTGGCGCATATTACTAACGTGCTCTTTAAATAACAAAAAAATAAAAATAAATATTGCGCCAGACTTTAGACCAGGTTTTTGTTGGTCAATGGCGCAGTCTATTTCAGTTGCCACAAAATAGCAACGCGCTAGCAATGCGCCTGAACACACCTCGTTTGCATATCAGCCCGCCCAGGGGTGCACAAATGGGCGCAAATGCATTTGCTATTTAAACAACGTGGCACAGGACGTGAAAATGACAACAGTGTCGGGCTGAAACTAGCAAAAAACATTTGCGACGCGCCTGGCGACGCATTGCGCCGGGTGTATGATAGGGCCCAATATCTTTAAAAACCTTAACAATATTAAACTCATTTGAGGTTTAGAAACAGAATCGTCAATCCTAATAGCCCCCAAAACATCGCTACAGTCACGAAAAATAACATCAAACCTACAATAAAAATTATTAAGCTCATTTGCCAGTGTCTCCTCATTTACAACTTGCATATTTATCTTTTTAGGTGTTATATTATTTATGCACCTTACCTTAGACCACAACTTTTTTTGGATTTTTACTCAGATCACTATCCATTAAATGTTTGTAATTCTTACGAGTTTCTCAAATTTTTTGATTAAGCATTTTCTGATCCAGCTTTAAACACAGAATTTGACGTATGCAGACCTGATTTCATTATGCCTGTCAATATCAGGATCATACAGCCAGACCTTACAGTCAGTATAGAGAAAACAGCCTTTCAATATCTCCACTTTTTCTCACCACCCTGGTTAGTTATTTCAACTCTTTCTTGTCATTTCAGGTTAAAACTTAAAAAAAAAAAAAATGTAAAAAGTGTAAAAAAAAAAAATTATTATAAGCATTCGATTCACAAAATGATGCTTTGACGTTGTCTGGCATTTTCAGATTGCTTAAAATGTTTGAGATCAGAAATGTGGAATTGCTATTAATGTGGAAGTACTCATATTTCAGAAAAGAATGAAGAACTAAAGGTAGACATTGTTCATAGACAATACAATACATTTGAAGGACATTTCTGGAAAGTCACATGACAATGCCTCTAATATGTTTGGATGATGATTAATTTGTTTCGCTGTACATCTCCATTATGCAGAAATATAATGAAACTTGAGAGGATTATTGACTGAAATTGGAAAGGGTCAGTTACAAATGGAGAAGTGTGTCTCTGGCTGGAACAAAAAAAGTTTATTTTTTTCTTCTTTCCTTGCATTTCTAAGAATTGTGGTATTCTAGACACAAACTATGCTGGTGAAAGAAAGGCCTCTTCTTCTCCTGTGTAAATCTGTAAAACAGCTTTATGGTGTGTATGACGACGAGACATCTCTCTGTCATGTGTCAGATCCTGGCGTGCAAACGTCAAAGGCTCCAGGTAGATTGTTATGCAGCTTCTGCTTCTTTATGCTTTGCTTTCAACACATGTCCAAGACAGCTGGAGAGAATAACAAGTCTGCTGAAACTACAGAAAGAACGAGAGAGAAAGACAGGATTGGGTTGTCTAGGGAGTCCAGCAGGGCAGTGCAGAAAGAATCCTTTCTCTCCCACTGGAGTTACACACAATAGAAGCTGCATGTGAGTGTGTTTGTGGTGAAATGTGTTGTATGTAGATGTATTTGTCAGTAACTCAAGCCAGAAGTGCTGTCCTAACATGACTTTCATTTAAATATTCAGAAAAATGTACTTGGATACCCATGAGATTTGAAATGCAAATCATTGCAAGAGGAGATTTATCAAGTGTGTGTTGTGTTGTGCTTGTAAATCTGTTTTATACACCAAAAAAACTGATTAATCATCAGATTAGCACACGTGTAAAGGGTGTGTGATATGGTAAAATATGTGCTGTTCAACCAAACTTCAATTTCAATTTATTCATTTTTTCTTCCTTTTCCCTCTTTAGAAATAGCTAAATGAACACATGGATGCGTTATGTTCAGGTGGGATGTTCTGCGGTTTGATGTGGAGATTACAGATTTCATGCATGTTGTGTTGTGTCGCCATCACTCAACTCCACTGGATCATGGGAAATGTAGTTTGTGAGCTCCACAATGCCATATGAAAAGCATGTGTTGTTTGCTGAAAACACGCTAAAAGAACATTAGCTGTCAGTGAATTAGTATTTCATCATCTCTCTCATTCTGTGGTCTCTTGGTTTCATCATTCAACCACATTGATGTTTTCCAGTAGTTCTTTAATTAGTACAGTATGTAGCTGTGTTATGTCTAATGGGTTTATATTTATGTTCTTCTAGTTTTACACAAACAGCCAAGAGAGGTTTGTCTATGTCTGCTGGAGCTGGGAAGAATAGCATCCAGGTACATTTTATTCAATTCAATTCAAGTTTATTTGTATCGTGCTTTTCACAATGCATATTGTTGTAAAGCAGCTTCACAGAAATGCCTTGTTTCAATGTTGTGATCACAATTTTTTTTTATTATCTAATTATCTATTCTATTTTATAAATAATGTAAAATATAAAATAATAGTAGCCAACATAATACATAAGTATATAGTCTATGTACTTTACGTAATATAGTTTCAGGTCTCTGGTACCCAGTCTCTTTCATCTAACACACTTAAATACTTAAATGAGTATTTCATGTCCACATACATATTTCTTTATTTTTGATTGAAGATAAAACAGCATAGGTACAGAATAGGATTAAGGGATCTAAAATATGGTCATGAATAAGGCATTAATACAGGTGCATCTCAATAAATTAGAATGTCATGGAAATGTTCATTTATTTCAGTAATTCAACTCAAATTGTGAAACTCGTGTATTAAATAAATTCAATGCACACAGACTGAAGTAGTTTAAGTCTTTGGTTCTTTTAATTGTGATGATTTTGGCTCACATTTAACAAAAACCCACCAATTCACTATCTCAACAAATTAGAATACTTCATAAGACCAATAAAAAAACATTTTTAGTGAATTGTTGACCTTCTGGAAAGTATGTTCATTTACTGTACATGTACTCAATACTTGGTAGGGGCTCCTTTTGCTTTAATTACTGCCTCAATTCGGCGTGGCATGGAGGTGATCAGTTTGTGGCACTGCTGAGGTGGTATGGAAGCCCAGGTTTCTTTGACAGTGGCCTTCAGCTCATCTGCATTTTTTGGTCTCTTGTTTCTCATTTTCCTTTTGACAAAAGATTCTCTATGGGAATATGCATGCGTGATAATAGTGAGAATTGTTCCTTAAAATAAAGTGTTGTCATTTATTGAATGAGCACTGTGCTATGTCCGAACTGATTGCACTGTTATTTTATGTATAATCATTTTCTATTTTTAACTTTTTAAAATGAATTTTAAATCATTTTAAAAGTTTATTGTTGTGATTATTTTACTTTATTTTATGTAAAGCACTTTGAATTACCATTGTGTATGAAATGTGCTATATAAATAAACTTGCCTTGCCTTACCATATACAGTATATAATATAATAGAAAATATATAATATAATAGAAAAATCTGTGTATATGTAATCCCTCCCCCGGGTCCTCACCTCCACACCTCGTTCTCGTTCCGAGTGGGTCTCGAACCCGGGTCTCCGATGTGGTTAACATGCATGTCTGTTTTTATAATGATAAATTAGAGTTTATTTTAAAACAGCATCTTGTTGTGAATGGTCACTGTTGTGCCAGGTATAAGGTCGTGATAATAGTGAGAATTGTTCCTTAAAATAAAGTGTTGTCATTTATTGAACCAACACCTTACCATATACAGTATATAATATAATAGAAAATATATAATATAATAGAAAAATCTGTGTATATGTAATCCCTCCCCCGGGTCCTCACCTCCACACCTCGTTCTCGTTCCGAGTGGGTCTCGAACCCGGGTCTCCGATGTGGTTAACATGCATGTCTGTTTTTATAATGATAAATTAGAGTTTATTTTAAAACAGCATCTTGTTGTGAATGGTCACTGTTGTGCCAGGTATAAGGTCGAGCCACCTGGACTTATAAAGCTGGAGAAAGAGATCGAACAGGAAGGCACTTTGAATTACCATTGTGTATGAAATGTGCTATATAAATAAACTTGCCTTGCCTTACCATATACAGTATATAATATAATAGAAAATATATAATATAATAGAAAAATCTGTGTATATGTAACCCCTCTCCCCCGGGTCCTCACCTCCACACCTCATTCTTGTTCCGAGTGGGTCTCGAACCCGGGCCTCCGGCATGGGAGGCGGGTGCACTAACAAGGAGGCTAAAGAATGCAGTCTCTAACGTCAGTCGCTAGTGTGTCTCTTGAGATCAGGGGAAGGAGGTTTACCTGCACAGCACCTACCCACTGGCCTCCGTTACACTCACCCTCCTAAACCTCACTCCCATCCGGGTCACGGCACCTATGTAATCCCTCCCCCGGGTCCTCACATCCACACCTCGTTCTCGTTCCGAGTGGGTCTCGAACCCGGGTCTCCGATGTGGTTAACATGCATGTCTGTTTTTATAATGATAAATTAGAGTTTATTTTAAAACAGCATCTTGTTGTGAATGGTCACTGTTGTGCCAGGTATAAGGTCGAGCCACCTGGACTTATAAAGCTGGAGAAAGAGATCGAACAGGAAGAGAAGACACCTGAACCGCCGCTCTCACCTGTACCTCCCACTTCCAATTCTCAATCTCCATCTGTTTCTCCATCCGTCTCTCCATTCAACAAGACCAAGTCCAGCAAAAAAAGCACCGGCAAGCTACTTGATGAGGCTGTGCGTAACATTTCCTTTCTCACATATCACTCTTGTTATCGGTAACACTGTAACTTTTAGACTGACAGATGTTTCTTTCCTTTACAATGAGAATTTAATGTTTTAACTGAACATGTAACGTGTGTTCCAGGTGAAGCACATTTCTAAAGATCCACCCTGTAAGTGCCCAAATAAGTTCTGCATAGAACGACAATCACAAGGCCGTTACCGTGTTGGAGAGAAAATGCTTTTCATCAGAGTGAGTATAAAACAAACCGTAGTCAGGGTAGATGCCATATTTACAACCGAAGATCCACCCTGTAAGTGCCCAAATAAGTTCTGCATAGAACGACAATCACAAGGCCGTTACCGTGTTGGAGAGAAAATGCTTTTCATCAGAGTAAGTATAAAACAAACCGTAGTCAGGGTAGATGCCATATTTACAACCCAGGCTCAATGGAAATACATAACTCTGCCTATATGTCTCAAAAAAAGGTTCCTCTACATACATTTCGTATATTTTCTGACATAGTAAACTTGCTCAGTAGCTCACCCGATCGAGCACTGCCCTTGCGATGCGGAGCAGCTCAGGTGTGAATCTGGTGAAATACGAGTAACAATGCTCCTCCACAGAGCTCATAAAAGGAAGCTAAAATGCAGTGATTGCTACAGCAAACGTATTTTTATCGCATTTGCTTTTTCTCGCACTATCGTTTAGGTTTAGTGTACAGTAGGTGGTAAACTAATTTCAAATGCAATCGAGCGTTGACCTGTTAGTGCCACTTACCGGACATTTCTTTTTGATACGTACAACAACCAATGTAGCAATACTGTTTTTAACTGTATAACTGTTTTGGAGAAAGCACAGTATTTAGCGCCAGTCACTGGACATTTTTTTTTCACTTTTAAAGTGCCATGAACTACAAGCAACACAATATCATTGTGTAACCATTTGCACCCACAGGCACATTTGGTTTAAAAGTGCAGCTAAATGTACCTACAGCAACATATACTTTTTTCAGAATGTGGCCGATACCGATACTTTTATTTTTGGTCCTTGCCGATACAGAGTACCGATACCTGTATTTACATTGCTTTTGTAATTTAAAAAAAATACTGGGTACAGAAACCAAAAGAATGTGAATAATGTTAGTTGGCTTAGCAAATAGATATTTACTTTATTATTATTTTCACACTTAATTATGCCCATTAAAATGTATTGTACAAGTTTCCAAGGAGCAGGAGACAGTTTCCTGTAACATTGAAGGGAACGTTATACATAAATCTTGTAACAACGATGAATGTATTTTCTGAAATGTCACGTTTGAAATCATCGTCTGAAACGTGCTGCGACATATTCAACTCATAAAGCGACTCATGTAATGCAATTAACGTCAACAAGCAAAACATGCGCAATGTGCGCACACATTTGTATTGCTGCGGAATGAGAGAGACATGTACAGGCTGCTAGTTTCACTGTAGCTTTAAATACAGTTGTGCATGCTTGACTTTAACATAAATGCCCCTATAAATAGTTTTATATTTACAATTTACTTTTAATCCAAATGATGCGTGTGCTAAGTAAGCGGACAGCAATCATGATCATGCAACTGAAGTGCTCTCTCTCTCTCTCTCTCTCCTTACCGTCAAGTAACTTAAGTAATTGTTTTACTTACTTGCTTTTGACATATCCAAACAAACAACAATCTTTCCAGTCATGTCTGTGAGAAAGGGATATTCACTCGACAAGCTCGCGCACTC